ACACCTTGAAATGCTCATCTATCACATAAATACAAAGAGGTTTAAATCTAACGACTCAAACCTAACATACCTTTGGCATTGTGGGTTAGGTCATATAAATGAGAAACACATTAAAAGACTCTATTCATGTGGATTTCTTGACTCTTTTGATTTTGAATCAATCGAGGAGTGTGTATCTTGTTTATTGGGTAAAATGGCTCACGGTTTATTGGACCTCATACACTCAGATGTATGTGGGCAATTGTCAACAATGGCCAGAGGAGGTTTTCAGTACTTCATAACATTCATCAATGACTTCAGCAGGTTTGGTTATGTGTACCTAATGAAGCATAAACATGAAGGTTTTGCAAAGTTCAAAGAATTCCAGAATGAAGTTTAGAATCAACTTGGCAAAACAACAAAAGTCATTCGATCAGATCGAGGTGGTGAATATTTGAGTCAGGAATTCAGTGACCATCTAAGAAGCTGTGGAATCGTTTCACAACTCACTCCGCCAGGTACACCACAATGGAATGGTGTGTCCAAACAGAGAAATCGGACCCTGTTATACATGGTTCGTTCCATGATGAGTCTTGCTGAACTACTAATCTCTTTCTGGGGTTATGCTCTTGAAACCGTTGCATTCATACTCCATAGGGCTCCAACAAAGGCAACAGAAAGGACGCCATATGAGATATGGACAGGAAAGGTTCCTAGTCTAACCTTTGTGAAAATATGGGGTTGTCAAGTTTATGTAAAACGTTTACTTTCAAATAAGCTTGAACCCAAATCAGATAAGTGCTTATTTGTAGGTTATCCTAAGGAAACAAAAGGATATTACTTTTACAACCCATCAGAGAACAAAGTGTTTGTTGCTCATAATCGTATCTTCTTAGAAAGAGAATTTCTTTCTCAAAGAACCAGTGAGAGTAAAATACAACTTGAAGAAATTCAAGAAGTTCTAGATAGTCAGACTATGCAAACGGTCCCACAATCTCAGCCACAACTTGTTTTGGATACACCTCAGGTAGCACTCGCTCCAAGGAGGACATCTAGGGTACGTAACGAGCCAGTTAGATACATGTTTATCTTAACTGAGCATCATGACGTATTATTAATAGAAGAAGATGAACCTTTGACCTACCAAGAAGCAATATCGAGCCATCACTCCGATAATTGGCTAGAAGCCATGAAATCCGAAATAAGATCTATGGCCGACAATAAAGTCTGGGCTTAGTTTATCTACCTGATGGTTGTAGAACCATTGGGTGCAAATGGATCCACAAAAAGAAATTAGATAAAGATGGCAATGTAGATATCTATAAAGCACGTTTAGTGGCGAAAGGTTACAAACAAATTCATGGTATAGACTATGATGAAACATTCTCGCCAGTTGCCATGCTTAAATCAATTCAGATTCTCTTAGCAATTGCCACTCATTTTGATTAGGAGATTTGGCAAATGGATGTCAAAACTGCTTTCCTAAATGGAAATCTAGATGAGGATGTGTATATGATACAACATGAGGGTTTTGAACATCCATGCAATGTTGGGAAGGTATGCAAGCTTAAAAGATCAATATATGGTCTGAAGCAAGCGTCTCGGAGTTGGAATCTTCATTTTGATGCTGCAATGAAAGAGTTTGGTTTCAATCAAAATGAAGAGGAACCTTGTGTTTACAAGAAATTGAGTGGGAGTGCAATCACTTTCCTAGTCCTATATGTAGATGACATACTTCTCATTGGGAATGATGTTCCAATGCTTTCGTCTGTAAAGGCTTGGCTTGGAAAGTGTTTCTCAATGAAAGACTTGTGTGATGCATCCTATGTGTTAAGGATCAAGATCTATAGAGATAGATCTAGAAAACTAATAGGACTAAGTCAAAGTAACTACATTGACAAGGTCCTTCATAGGTTCAATATGCAAGATTCCAAGAGAGGATTCTTGGCTATGTCACATGTCACACATCTCAGCAAGACTCAGTGTCCATAAACACAAGATGAGCGAGATCGAATGAATAGAGTCTCTTATACTTCTGCTATAGGTTCTATCATTTATGCTATGTTATGTACTCGCCCGGATGTAGCTTGCGCTCTAGGCATGACTAGTAGATACTAGTCAGATCCAGGTGATAGTCACAGGATAGCGGTCAAGAATATTCTAAAGTACTTGAGAAGAACTAAGGGTGTATTCTTGGTCTATGGCGGTGAAGATCAGCTCATTGTAAATGGTTACACAGATGCTGGGTTCCAATCCGATAAGGATGATTTTAGATCGCAATCAGGATTTGTGTTTTGCCTCAATGGTGGAGTAGTGAGCTAGAAGAGTTCTAAACAAGACACGGTGGTTGATTCTACAACAGAAGTTGAGTACATTGCTACTTCAAAAGCAGCAAAAGAAGCAATATGGATAAGGAAATTCATCATTGAGTTCGGTGTCGTTCCTAGTATTGTTGAACCAATGGACTTATATTGTGATAACAATGGAGCCATTGCACAAGCCAAGGAACCTAGATCACACCAGAAATCAAAGCATGTACTTAGACACTATCATCTCATTCGAGAGATAGTCAATAGAGGTGACGTCAAGATATGCAAAGTACCGACAGATGCAAATGTGACTGACCCGCTCACCGAACCACTACCACAAGCAAAGCATGAACATCATACTAGTGCATTAGGCATTCGTTTTGTTCACGTTTGGTCCTAGTGCAAGTGAGAGACTGTTGGAAGTATGCCCTAGGACAATTATAGTTTATGATTTATCAATGAATATTTAATAATCATTAATTAATAAAGTCACAAACTCATTTTATGTTAATTATTAATAGTCACAACCTTTACACGGCCGCTGCGGGTTTCGAACCTTGGTCACTTGGTCCAATTTTCCCACCACTCGATCAACTGAGCTACCCGTGCGGGTACATATACTCAATGTACTTTTCACTTTGAGTGAAAGAAATATTTAGTGTAGATACTTCAAATGAAAAAAATGCTCCAAAATATCAAACGACCTGCAAACACATGAACCAACTTTCTTATTAATACATGGCTTTCCACATTTAATAATGTATCATGTATGTACCATAAACATGAATTTATATTTGACATCAATATTTAAAGCAGAGAATGCATTCTGATTTCCATATTATAGCTAAAAATCCTCCAAAAGTTTTCATTCTATTGTTATTATTAGAATAATCTCACAAAGTAAAATAAATTACTTATATCCTCAAATAGAATGAAACAAAAATGGTTATAGCAGAGCGTCTTTAATGGAAGTAGAAGCTTGTTCTACCAATTCAAGGCTTCACTTTCTCCAATCTGTATTTGATTTAGTCGTGTGATTCTTAAGTTCACGATTTTCTTAATCCTTCTTAAGAGGCTTTGCGCAAATCAATGAGATATGCTCCTTTCCATTCATTGAAGTGTTTTCTCTTAACTCTACCCCATAAGGAAATACATGACCATGACGTTGTGGTCCAAAATGTTTTTCAACAAGCTCAAGATTTGAATACATTGTGTTGTTCTGAACAATTTGTGTGGGTAATGGTAGTTGTGGTGTATTAGCTTTACTCTTTCCTAAAATGTAAAAAAGTCAAGTATATCTAAACAAATGTAAGAAGTTCAATTAAATAAATAGTACGTGGTCTATTTTATACTCTTTAATCTAAATGAGAATAAAAGCAAGATGTGGTGAAATGCCTCCACAAAATTGGGCCAACTTATAGCATGCTAGCATTTTAGTGCACTTCCTCTTAGTTGGATGTTTTTTTTTCTTTTTTTCCATCCATAAACGACCTGCTATGGAAAAACTTAATATAGGAACTTAATAAATAAAAAAGAATATATAAGCTATACATGGTTTAGTTCTATTTCGGGAGTTTTCTCTAACTTGAACTTCAGTGTGGAACAACTACTAATTTACATGTCATGACTTCAGATTTAATTTTGGAGCACACAGATTTATTGGGACCAATTCAAATATCCCCACACTCATTTTTAGAAAAACGGCATAATCACAACCGATTATTGGTGACAATTAGGTCAATAAGTCAATTGTATGTAGTACTAGGTTGTGTTTCAAAACCAATAAATAAAGAAAATTGATATTCCCGGTCTAATGATGGAAAATTGTCCAGAATAGAGAGAAATTTGTTAGAATATGTAAGAAATGTTGTGAATCATAATTCTTGACAAAAAATGAAAAAGAAAATAATCTTATAACAGATGAAAAATGAAATTTGGAAGACAATTCAGAGAGTTGACTGAGGGAGCAACAAACTAAGTATATGAGGATGGAGGTGACGATGATTATGAATGGAAGATGATGGCGGATGTGAGGATGATGATGATGATATAATTTAATAATTTAATAAAAATAATAAATGTGGTGAAAATAGATGGAATCTAGAGTCTACGTATAGCTAACGAATTGAAGGCAAATTGGGTCACTTTGATCCAAAGCTAGGGCTAAGTCGTAGGCCAAGTCAGCCCAACAACGCGACACCGGCGGTCCAAGATCCACTTTCTCGTCATTTCCGGGCAGCTTACTTTACTTCTCATTTTCAATTCTCATCTCACGTAAAATAAATTTGGTCCAAAAGGTGGAATCTCTCATCTCAGATTCTCAGGAACCCCCACCCCGACCCGACAAGATGTTAATCACGGTGACTCAGTCAGCAAAGCGGTGGTATGCCTTATAAACGTACGCATCAGAGATCCGGCCTTATTTCAGATTCTGTAACCTCTACATGGCCGCTGCGGATTTTGAACCTCTATCACTTGATCCAATTTTCGCACCACTCGACCAACTGAGCTATCCGTGCGGTCACATAAAATAAATTAAGCTTGCCTTAATGTTGACTTTAAGGAACCCAACCAATTACCTTTTCACGTACTTTCGCATGCAACTTCTTGCTTCTACTACGTACACTATATATATACTCTTCCAAATCAAAGAAGCTAAGTGTGGCTAATATTTGATTTGCATTAGATTTAAAGAAAAAGAAGAAGAGAATTATTTGAATAGAGAAAAAAATGAGCAGCCACGATGGAGGAGTAGCAATGTCCGATGCAATGAAGCCAACGGCAGCGGCTGTTGGTCTTCTAATGTCGTCCTTTGCTGCCCCGACGACGACATTGCTACGTTCAATGAGGGCGTCTTCCCCTACTCGGCGGTCCTCCGACGATGATTACTGCAACGACCTTTGGAGGGTACATATCTACGTTTTTAACACTTTCAATTTCTCTGTTCCTTAATAGTTGCAATATTATGATTTTTACGCTATTCTTTAATGCGAAGTAGTATCTTATTTTAACAATTATTTTCTACTAATATATAATAAAATTATTGTGTATAAAATATTATTAAATTTCAATTAATGTGAATTTCAAAAAATTTAACTTTTATAATACTTGATATATGCTGATATGTAATTAAATATAATCACAGTCAAAGTTGTGCGTTGACAAACGTGAAAGTCAATATGTTACAATTAATAAAGAACAAATGTAGTACTCAGTGTATAATACTGAGTATATAGTACTACGTACTTCAGATATATAATCTTTTAGCTTCACTCAAATTTCTGAGCTTCGTTCTCATTAACTGTGCCATGATCTAGTCACTTTAAATCTTTTTAATTTCATGTACATTTCTTAAATGTTTAAGTGTGGTGTTATTTGATTTGATCTTATTGCCAGTTCTGATTTGGATGAATCTAATATGATCTACCTAGTCTAATACTCCATATTTGATTTGTAGCTTATGTACTTAAAAGAAGTTCTCACTTTCCATTTTTGCTATGTACAAGATAGTCGTGATTAGTTGCTTATTCTTCCACTCATTAATTAGAAAATTGGGTGAGAAAATATAATTGTTACCACCTTAGTCACTCATAATATGTACTCCGAGTGCCTAATTAATCAATTGTCACTCCATTTCGGTGGTGAATAATTCACTCACTTTTACAATAAGTGAAATTATATTTTCTAAAAAAGAATTAATAAAAAATGTTACAATTGTTCTTACCTTTTATTTACTTTTTGCTTGATTTAATATAAAGTAATTTAAGAGAAATTTTAAAACGTCAAAATAAAATTGTATGCTAAACGGAGTACATGTATGTGTGCATAAAAATTGGGAATTTGGGATATACTACGTTCATGTTAGGGTCCACTTCATCCCAAATTTGTTAAAAATTTTAATTAGCATCATGCGTAAAAAAATAAGGAGTATAAAAATTACCATATTTTTCAATGATTCAATTTTTCTAGGTAAGCCACTGCTTGTTATTGTCTATTAAATTAACGTGTACATATCTGCAATCTTTAACTATTAATTATTTTAAGAACAAAACCATGTCAATTTTACTTAAAATTAAGGAAAACACAGTTGAATTGAACATGTTTAGTCAATATTTAAGATCATTGAAATTAATTGTTTCTTTTGAAAGATTGGGCTTCATGAAAACAACAAGATAGGTATCTTTCTTAAATTAACGGCCTATTTTTACTGACCAACTACTAATCATCTGTAACTTTCCATAGGCTAGCTAGCTAGGGAGACCAATTTTTCTTTTTCAAAGAATTGAATAGGGTATCTTTAATACAAGTTGTATAACTTTAGACGTATACTGAGTACTTTTTGCGTATAAATCAGACCTACTGTAAGATAGTGCGTAATATATACTACGTGTGTGAATATATATATATATAGAGAGAGGGATATTCATGTGCGGACGGATCAGAACCGCCTTGCGGCCGGTGGCGTTTGGACGCCTTTCTGGTGTAATTTTTTGATGAAATTTTTATGGTATGTTTTTCATCAAATCTAGTTTATCCACACAAAAATTCAGTTCAAAATTAGATCTGGAAGGCCTTCAAATGATTTTTTGAAGTTGACGGCGTTTTTCTATGTATAATTTGGCGCAGTCAACTTCAAAAAATCATTTGAAGGCCTTCTTGATCGGATTTTGAGCTGAATTTTTTTGTGGATAAACTAGACTTGATGAAAAATATACCATAAAATTTCATCAAAAAATTCCACCAGAAAAGCGGCCAAAAACCTTCAGCCGGACGGCCCCTCTCGTTCGGCCGGACGCACCAGATCATCACTCTATATATATATATTGGATTTTAATTAAGTTAGTATTTGTAGGAAATTATAAAATGCAAAAACAAAAAGAAGTAAGAGAATATGGATAATGAAGGTTCAATAATGTATTTTGATATGTGTGATAGAATATGTCAAATTAGGAATAGTATGTATAAACTTTACAACAAAGTATAGCTTTCGAAGCATATGCAAAATGTTGCAATAGGGGTATATGTCACAATATATCAAATGCAACATTTTTAGTATGTCGCATCCGATTGGTGTTACAATAGATGTATTGTAACAATTTTTCATTTTATTGTAGTATTTGTTGTAGCACTTTCTAGGCCGGGTGCTACGCAATGGATGTTACAATAAACATTTTTTGTACTAGTGAAAAACTGAATAAATTCGGATCACCTAATAAATAACACGAGTATTTGGTATTTGTATCAAATAAGAATTGATTTAAAATTACTTCAAATTATTTTCTTTACATATATCGAAAGTTAATTAGCAATTTGAAAATTAAGATTGCCCCTTTAACCTCGTGTTCAACAATCTACTTTTTCACATGCACAGAGTTAGATTATCAGTTTAATTTACACTTTAGACTATAGCTACAGTCCTATAGAGTTTACTTTAATTCGATCATAAATAAACATGCCCTTATATAATATACTCCCTCCGTTTCTATTAAAAGTTCCAAATAGGTTTGACACACATTTTAAGATAGTGGATATTGTGTGATGAAGAGTTGTGCAGATGAGAGAGAAATGTGTAAGAAATGTTGTGAACCAAAAATTTTTTTCTAAAAAGGGAAAGAAGAAGTTTTAATTGGAACGGATGAAAAAGGAAAGTTGGAAGTTTATTTAGTACGGAGGGAGGAGTACCTATGTAATTTTCCATTTTTCCGTAAGCAATCTTGCTATATGTGTATATATGTGTTTGCTTTTTGTATTATCTAATTGTGAATTGGCCTTCTCCGAAATGATGTTGTCTCGTACAATTTGCACTGAATTTTACAATTTGACAAATTTAAGAATGTCTTTTATAAATAATTTATGAATGCATTAATTAATAGAACGGTGTCAAAGTGAAACATGTCAATAGTGTATAAAATATACTCCCTCGGTGCATTAAAACTTTGTCATCTTTTTTTGGGAGGTCCCAAAAATATTGTCATTTCCCTTTGAATCAATTATTTTTTTGATGTTTCTGTCATTTTCTCTCCTCTATACAAATTTTAACCACACATTTTTTACTTTATTACTATTTATGCCGGACAAATTTAGTAAAGTTTTATGGGACGAAAGATGTAGAACTGATGGACTATAGTGTGATGTTTGTTACATTACTTAGAGCAACTCCATTGATGATACTCAAATAATCAATTTTTTTGTGCAACATCATTGCCACATATAAAATCATAAATGATATCAAATATTCTTAACTTTCTCTCAATCATGATCTTAGATTATTGTGATTTTTGTATGAAAAGCATTAAAAGAGTCTATCTCCTACAAAAACACATGTCCGTATGTATATATATTAATTTACCACCGTATTACTTTGTTTTTTCTAAAAAAAATTATTACAAACATTATTCCATTTCTTCTCCAGTTTATTTTTTTTTGTTCAAGTCCTGAGTTGTACTCCAAGAAAATAATCCAACAAAAATTGTTCATAACCAATAAAGAATATTTATATAATAAAATAAGTTGATTGTTATGAGTGCCTATTATTATTTTAAAAAATGTTAATTCAATTATGATTGCAATCTTTTCAAATTAAAAGGCAACATGTTCCTTTTAAAATCAGGATGCGTGCCATTTTTTGAATCAACTAATTTTTTAATTTACATCACTACATAGCAGCTTCATCTCATAGTACGGAGCAGCGGAGTTCCTCGCTACTTACCATTTTGAAAGAATGATGAGCTATGCGTCATTTTAATGGATTAAGTAAGGAAAGTATAAAACGGCTAACTCAATTGTCCATATTTGTTAGAGAAATAATCTGATTTCAATATTTGCTACTGGATTTTTTTATAAATAATCTTTGCAATTAATTTCATTATCTCAATCATAATCTCAAAAAAATGAGTCACGTCATCAATCTAATCTCTAAATAATCTAAACAATGAGGTTGCTCTTAAAGCAGATTCGGTATCCATCTGCTTTAGGCGTGTTTGGCGACATAATCAAAGCTTCTATAGGGAAACAAATAATAATGTTTCTTGACTACGATGGTACGCTTTCCCCCATTGTTGAAGACCCTGACAAAGCCTTCATGACAAACCAGGTACACGCCTCACTATTAAACTATTTTAATCAGTTAATCGTATCTTATTAGTTCATTATTGTATCATCTTAATCTTGGTTTATTTTCACTAATCTGGTAATAATACTTCGATCTAATTAAAGTTCTGGACTTTCTTCCTTTACTTCTTGATTTAGATGAGGGAAGCAGTACGTGATGTTGCAAAACATTTTCCCACAGCCATAGTCACGGGAAGGTGCATTTCCAAGGTGCAAAATAAAGATATTGTTTGGTTATTTTTGCTTTTGGTTTTCAATAAACCTACACATTATTATTTGCAAAATTGTTGTGTGATACACCTTCCCTATTGAAAAGTATGCTAAAATAAAGTTTGAAACAATATTTAAGGGAAAAATCATAGGGTAATGAGAAGTGTAGAAAAAATAGTAAAGCGGGTGGTAAGTATAAAAAAGAAGATAAAAGGTAGAAAAAGTAAGGAATATTAAGTATTTTTAAAGGGAAAAATTATAAAAAAGGAAATGCAATCCAAAAAAGAAAGTAGTGTAACATAGCAAACATTTCAATACAGATGGCCGGAGCATGTACTACTCTCTCCGTATCACATTATATGTCTCATATATGTGCTAGCTTTTTCATGTAGTTAAAGATAATTATTATACATTTTATAAAAAGTTAGAGGTTTTTGATATTGTAACACTATTGTAGTTGCTTTTAAGGTGTGTTTTCTTCCCAAAAGAGAAATGAGACAATTTATTTAATACGTTCTGAAAAGAAAAGTTGGACAACAAATTGATACGGAGGGAGTATGTAGTATGTTTTCACGCATGGAATTTAAAATAAAATCAGGCCAAACTTACATAAACTATCCAAACCAGATTTGAATAATATATACTAATAGAGTATATATAATATGTACTCTCTACTTCTTAATTACCATACAAATAATAGACATGATCATACTAGTCCAAATTAGACGTAAAGACCATGTCAAAATCATACTAGTATTAATCGCCACATACCCATCCATGATGCATATATGTAGTGTTATACTTGAGTATATTTTGCTAAATATGAACACCTACCAAAAATTGTGTTTAATTCCTCGAAAAAAATATGAGTTTAATTTAATCTAATTTATTCTTAATTTATATGTACGTATATACGTATTAGGTTTTCGAGTTTGTACAACTACAAGAGCTTTATTATGCGGGAAGCCATGGATTGGACATCAAGGGACCAGAAAAAGGACGACACGCCTACACAAAGGCAAGTATTCATTAATTATAATAACGGTGTATTAATTTTATTAATTGCATTTGGCTTATACACATATGCAGGTTAAATAATGCTCGTGTTTATGATTTTTCAGGCCAATAACTCTCTTCTGTACCAACCTGCCAATGAATACTTACCTATGATTGATGAGGTAGATAACTTCATTATTTAAACACATGTCCTACAGAGTATGTGACGACATTAAAGTCATTTGTGTGTCTCAAAATAAAATCAATACTACCACTTATACGTAGTATATATATATATCCACACGGGAATGTGCTTTTTGCATGTGTGTAAGCGTAAGAAATCAAAATAGAAGGAAAGGGGGTCTGGATATTGTGATAATTGAGAAATAAAATAAAAACGCTAATATGAACGAATTAAAATATTAAAGGTAATCATGCAGCCTTGGTTTTGCTAATGCTCACTTAGTGAAGTGTTCGTTGATCACGGGTACTACTTTAACTCTCCCCTCTTGAATACTTAAGTGTGGAGAAAATCCAATTCATTTAGGGTAATTATTAATAACGAGACGTGTTCTTTAATAACCCTTACTATTAATTAGTCAATACTGAACAAGCGTCATATATATATTGATCTTAATAGTAACATTCGGTCGATTTAATGAAATCAATTAAGAATGATAACTTGTAACCCGAAGCAAGTATTCTCGGCTATCACAATGAGAATCTCAGGTCCATCTATTCTATCTAATTCATCCATTTGTCATCTAATGAAATGAATTCAGATTGATAACCTCAACACAAGCGGTTTCGGTTCAACCAATATAATTACTCCTTATTAGATTATTAATCATGAGACACATGCATTAGTAATCTAAGATTTCTACTTGTGAAAGGACCAAATGAATAACAAACGTATTCATTGATTGATTCTAGTAATAGTCAATATGAAAACATCAACTAATAGATTACTTAGCGATGCTCAAATATCAATATGGAAAATGAATCGAGAAGTAATAAATGTTCAAAAGAGGAAGATTAAAGAAATAACTCATAATTTGCAAATCACAAGCTTCAATATAGCAAAATCAAGCTCAAAAGACTACCTAAATTACAAGAATAAAGTTTATATGAAAGAGGAGATTGATTGGTATAAAATAGGAAGGAAATGGGTGTTTTATAGGAGAAATGAGGTGGTTGGGCGGATACTCGGCCAGATATCTAGGATACTTGATCGGGTATTTTGGCAGTAGCTTCGAAAGTGTTGAACTCTATTCATATACCCGATCGAGTATAAGACCAAATCTTGTTTTTCCCATGTTCTCTTGCTTTATTTGATCTCGTATGATCCCCGGGTCAAATCATACCTGATCGGGTATTGGATATACCCGACCATGTGTGATACCAAATCAGTTTTTTCACATTTTTTTGTCTCATCACTTGAAGCTTCCTCTTGTAGTCTCCATGTTCCTTCCTTATACTCCAAAGCTCAATTCTTGCTTTTCATCATATTTCTTGTTTACATGTCAAAAATCGCTTAATATCTTCCAATTCTAGCCTTATTTAGAAGATAAAAATTACACCATAATTTTACAAAAGTTGTGTAAACACAACGTAAAATCATTCTAAAATGTCTTGTTTGTGCACTACTAAATACTCGTAGCACATATCAGTATGGATAATGATAAATGCAAGAAAAATATTATGGGATCGTTTAGGGAAATGTCCCCAATAAATTTGAATTTAGTTCACAATCAAAACTTTCATTAATGATTAGAAATTCAAAACATGGGAATCATTATGCTTATTATTCAAATTTCAAATTAAGTGCCCCCCATAATTTCTTTCAAATCTCAAGAAAACAAAGTCAGTGTATTTTAGTATTTTTATTATAATTTTTGAGTGGTAGAAAAAAGTAATATGCATCGAAGCATATTGTATGTATGTGTGCATGCAGGTAGATCTCACTATCTCAGACCGGACTAAAAAGACCAAATTAGAAAATTTTGGTCCAACAAAAAACATCCTATAAAAGCTCACCGAACACCACTTGAATAAATAAAATGCCACAGTATAAATTCTTATTGTATACCCACTCCAACATTAGTTTTTTGAAATAACATTTCGTTTGAGTGTTGAGTAATTAAAACTATGTTATTATCATTTCCAGGTGCACAAAGCTTTACTGGAAAAAACCAAATCAATTGATGGGGCTAAAGTGGAGAACAATAAGTTTTGCTTATCAGTACATTACCGTTGTGTTGAAGAAAAGGTAACTAAAACAATTTAATGAGCATGTACATGCTCACTAGTATGTTAATTCACGTGAAAGTAAATGATAGATTCTACATATTAACTATTCCAATAAATGGTAATTCTTTCATATTAATTTAACATACTTATTTAACACATGCTTAATATGTTAATCATAGGACCTATGTTTATTAATGTGCATGTTACATGCTCATTATAATTATTGGCATTCTTTTTAATTAATCTATTTATTACATAATATTAATATCTGATGTTGATTATTTCTCGACCAAATATAGTATCATAAGATGTTCCTTTGATTTATTTATTTTATTCATACAGAAATGGATTAATGTAGTTGAACAAGTAAAATCTGTGCTCATAGGATTCCCAAAACTTCGGATGTGTCAAGGAAGAAAGGTAAAATACCTACAACTCGTTGTTTGTTTTGGAGCAAGCTAAGTTGCAAATATAATCATTATATATGTAGTATTATATATTTATAGTATAATATTAGGGCAATTCTATATAACCATTAACATTTTTTACGTCCAAAAATCATCCTCCTAACATTTTTCTCAGTTAATGTACTTATGTACAGATTAGTTCTTCATCTTTCTTTTGTATTCAATGAGAGACAAAAGAGATTAAAAACATCCAATGTAATATAATAAATGTAAGAATTTAAAACATCTCAAATTGATATTTAGTTTTGTATTTCTATAATTACAAGACATATAATTCTTATAACACTTGTTTTATACGGTAAAACTGGATTATGAAATGTTGACATGGCATTCTGATTTGTTAACAAAGTATAGTATTTAAAATCATATTTAAAACATTAAAATCAATACTGGATAATTTGTTTACAGAAAAAACATTAACTTGTGTCATATAAACATTTAAATTGTACGACATACTTAAATATTGTATTATTTTGCAACAAAGGTCTTAGAAATCCGACCATCTATAGAGTGGAACAAGGGGAATGCACTTGAATTTTTGTTGGAATCATTGGGCTATGGAAATTCAGATAATGTTTTTCCCGTCTATATCGGAGATGATCGGACTGATGAGGATGCATTTAAGGTACCACATGATTTAATGATTCCTTCTGTACCGTCTTCATTTCATAAATTTTTTATATTTTCGTTACATAATTGTTTAATAATTTATTTTGTATTTTCTTTTCAATTTATGTTACTTTGATGCTTAGGTTCTCCAACAGAGAAGACGAGGTTTAGGGATCATAGTTTCCAAAACTCCCACTGAATCAAACGCTTCATATTCGTTGGAAGAACCATTACAGGCAAGTATAACTTACATGCCACTTATATCATTATATATATTGTTTTGGAAGAAATAGAATTAATTATGACTAATTAAACTATGTACCAAAACATCATAGAGACTATAATGATAGGACATACAAAACTTTACTACCACAAATTCATAAGTACGTAGAATGATTCACATGATGTTTAATATGAAAAATAATAATTTATTTATATACGAAAGTATTTATAATGTGAAAGTGACATATAAATGTTCTTTGTTAAAAAAACTATCACAAAAGTATAATTTTTTTATTTTCACTACAATATATGTGTTGAAATAATTAATTAAAGTTTATCATCATTGACTAGAAAAGTCAATTGTTACTAGAAACAAGCTAATTACAAGTGTTAATATCTTCACCAATTCACCCAATTTGAGAGGTTCTTGTATCTAAAAAGGCTCGGAGCTTTTTGTTGGGGTGAACTCCTTGAATTGTACCAAGATGCATTATTCACCACTATTTTCTCTATGAGTGCTTCTGCATCTTCAACTTGCAAATTAGGAAAAGACTCATTGCAAAAGCATCCATCATCATCTTCCTGTCGTCATTAATGTCACTATAGAAAATACGAGATGATCTCACAGTTATTCATCTTGCCCCGATGGCAAGTTCTTCTAAGCACCTTGAATCTCTTCCACGCTTTAGACAGAGACTCTAATGATCCTTGCTTGAATTCCTCCACCTGCATCTTCAATTTTAATGCCTTAAATGTTGGGATGTATTCTTTGATGAAGGCAGTGTGCAGCTGGTTCAAAGTCTTCAAATGTTGATGTGAATTACTGTCCATCGATCTATGTGCATCATCTCTCAGTGGAAACGGGAGAAACATCATCCTCACTTGGTCATCAACCACCCCAGGAAATTTGAAAGTCTGACACATCCTCAAAAAACGAGTGATATGTGCCACATGGTCTTCAGACGGGACTCCTCCTCCAAATTGGTTAGTAAAACCTAGAAACCGTGCTAATCACCGCCAGCTTGATCTCGTAATGATTAGTAGTTATGCATGACACATGGATGTTATCATACTCTGAAACTTCAGGCGTGAAGTATTCTTCTATCGTCTGCCACTCGAATAGGGGATTCTCGTGTGGGTGTATCCTTGAAACAGAGGATGTTGTGGTCTTATCTGTTGGGTTGTGCTTTTATGCGTGTGGGGCATCCGGTGCGGGATCTGGTACTGGTTTTGGAAAGGATTAGTGGGAGGATATTACTGATTTGAAAATTCAGATTATGAGTGTTTTTCCATGCTCCTTGTAACTCTAGTTGTTGACTTTAATTTGCAAAGGTATTTCATGAGCGGTTGTGGTGTTTCTAAAGAGTTTATATAAAGGAGGAAGGTTGAATTGTGAAGTTTGAAGATTTTGAGGAAGAAAGGATGGCAATAATTTTGGAATCCGGGAGGAAGATGTCCTCGTGAAGTAGATGGAGAACTTTGGGGAGAGGTATGGAGATAAAAATCATTCCCATGCTGAGTGATCGCAATGATGATAGTAGTGATATCCCAGCTGTTCCAGATGTGGAAGCCATGGTTGCTTCTTTTTTTCACGTTGCGCTCTTCAGTTTTGTCTAGCGAGCTTCTAAATCTCAAGATTAAGAGGAATAAGTGCTTCTCCCTCTTAGAACGTGTATGCATAAAAAAATCTAACATGTAAGGTTAGAAGGCTGAAATCCTACGAAAAACTAAAAATAAAAAGTAGAGAAAAACTAAAACTAGTCGTTGAAAATAAATAATCCTGAAACACATTGTCCCTAACAATGGAGCCAAAAACTAATGTGTGTTTTATCGCACTTAAAATAATGTAGTTGTGGAGGGTATAAGTATGAGTATTATCTCCACAGGGACGGAGAAGGGGAATTAAGTATTAAATATTTTCAACGATAAAAAATAAATATAATAAAAGCGATGTGCGAGATTTGATTTTTGGAATTAAATGATGCAAATTAAAAGCTAAATTAAAGGGCTCTTTCTAATTAATGTCAGAAGGGAAACAAGTATTGATTTCGGGGGCAACCAGATTTCGGGGAAGATTAGGCTTAGACACATGAAAATCATTTAATTGAGCAATGCAGGTGAATACGAACTTTTTACCGCCCTCACGGTGTAGAGTACAATAATTTGGAGAATCGGGTTGATATCTCATACAATAAGTTTCTAAACTATTGCCAAAACGAGCAAACATCGAGCATATGACTCTCTAATCATGCTAATCTCTTACCGCATGATTAGGTGTGTGTGAATGTGTCCTAAAAATGTACATCTCTCTTAAATTATTCTATGTGCAATTATAATTCTAGTTGTCATTCCAGTTTACAAAAGATATCAATTAAATGATTCACTCACAAATAACACGATAATGATGCCATTAAACCATCAAGAACGGAACCCTGCATCATGATTAACACCCCTTCATCAATCTCAAATTCCTAATTAAAATTATTCACAATTCATAATTGAAAAGTAAATAGAATTGAAAAGGAAAGAATTAATTGTCATTAATTAAAAAGAAAGAATTTACAAATAATCGCAAAATATTGAAGATTTAAAGCTGGACAGCCCTTAGAAAATTCGTCCTCAGGCTTGCCTCTAAACTCTCTAACTCCAAAATAAGGATTCAAAGCTTGTTTAAATAGGAAAAATATACTCTTTGGCGTTTTTTAACAGCACCAAGCCTTCCGCATGTGGGTGAACATTAATTTCAAATATGCACACGGCGCTGCACACAGCGTGTGAACACGGCCCTGCACACTGTGCGCGCAGCCGTGTATGCGGTCAAAGTCAAATTTTTCACTTTTCTTCCTCACAAATGGCCTTCTCCAAAATTGACTTCCAAAGTATCTTCAAACATCCTATAAAGTCTCCAATGTTGGTGTCGGTTTCAATTTCCTGCTTGCTATGCTAAAAATACCAAATATGCAAGAAAAATCAGTAAACCATATCTTGAATTAAATGAACACTGCGACTCATTTTAGGCACGAAAATTGTATAACCCCAATTCTAACATGCATAAAATGCGTGTCAAAATACGGAGTTATCAATGACGTGTTTGATTCTATGAAAGACATAAAATTTCAACAATTGTGAGTGAGGGATTCATCTTTTTCGAAGAAAACAATGATGATCATATTTGTGAAATTTGTCTATGTTTTACTCATATTTAAGAATGAGAGAGACTATGAGAACTTAAAAGATATTGCTAAAATGAAATTCAAAGGCACGAATTGATTTGATCTGATGATGTTGTTAATCGGATTGTTTCAGTCATAAATATGACTTAAACAAACCAAGCTAAGTCATATCGTATTTCGACACTTGTTAATTACACATAGAACAAATATTTACCATATCACATCATACTTGAAAGAGTAGGCCAAACCGAAAAAATTCAATGCAATTAAAAATATCATAAATTGTCATATATTGCTAGTTTGTTGATTTCATTATTCTCATATACACTACATTGATCAAATATTATACGGAGTAATTTTCAATAATACATGTAGCACATATTTATGTATGATTCATATTTTAGTAATATAATGTATATGTGTCAATGTTGCTAAAAGTAAACTATTTTAGTATTTCAACTTGCATAGGGTCAAGTCTTTTAATACTTAGAGTTAAATGATCAAAATGTGTTGCATGAATACATAGGAGTAATTATAATGTTCCTATTGCTACATTCCAATATGGCAGGTTATGCAGTTCTTAAGACTTATGCTGGAGATATCTGAATCTAATTAATTCGCATGAAGATATATAATATACGGCCGGAGTATGTATATAAGATCACACACGCGCTTGGAGACCGACAAGAGTTTTGTCATTTCATATAGCCTTCAAAAATAGCTCTAGAAATTTGAATAAAGTTTAAGTCTATAAAAGGTTAAGAAAGAAGGCAGATGTTTGAATACCTTGTCGTGCATGCTATTGTAACTTTTGAGCTTTATAATGCTTTTTGACAATGCTAATATAATGAGTGTGGGTAATCCTTTAAACTATTTCGCAACACGTATTGTTGATTGAATCTCTTAAATTTCTAAAAAAATGTGTTGCTAACTCTTCTTTTGCCTAAGGGGAAAATAACTATATAGAATAAAATAGGAAAAAGAGAACGAACTCCCCATGATCTAAGTACATCCCATGTGGCATCATATTAGGAAAGAAAATATAGAAGTCATATTTTAAAAAACAGACAGTTTTTATCACACATAGGGTGATTTTCTCTTTTACTAATTGATTGAAATTTGGACTAATAAGACTAAGGCTATGTTTGGCAGGCATAAGTCTCTGCCTTCTAGCTTTTGTACTCTTCAAAAAGTCTCTAAAAGCTTGTAGTTAAATGTTTGGCATGACAATTTTTAAGAGCTTTTCAAAAATTAAAAGGTCTTTTTTGAGATGTTACAGGGAGTAGCATCTGGGAAAAGCCCGTGACTTTTAGTATTAATTAATCCTAACAACTTGTATACCAAACCGAACTAAATCAATCAGTCAGCTTTTTACCAAACAGCTACCAACTTTTCTTTTTAAGATCTTTTCAGTTAGTAAAAGCTAAAAGTTATTAAAAAGCTCATAAAATTGTCTTTTAAGCTAGTTGTGCCAAACATACCCTAAAAGCCCAACAAATGCTAATTAAGTAAAGCCACACATAAGATGTTTTTACTTGAAATACTTTCAATCCATACTTAGATAATAATAAAATATATAATGAGAGAGACTAAATTGCACACATAAATGAGATCAAATATAAATAGATAATATCATACTTAGATGATAATAATAAAATATACACACATCATACATGATCTTTAGCATTTGAAACATCTGCTAATTAAAAAAAAAATCATGCACTCACGCGTCTAAACTCCTTCCCATTCTCAAGTCGACTTGATCTACTCATTGTTACACTTACATTGAACTTCTACACTCTTGAATAAAAATTACTACTTCATCAATGGAAAAAAATTATTCAAAGAAAGATGTTTTCAAGTGTAGAGTGTTAATGTTAATAAATGTTGAGCTGCCAACTGCCAACCCCCTTGTGAGTTAAGAGGGGGTACTCAAAGTATTTATTTATAGATAAGTAACAAAAATAATTACATGTACCAAGTATATGATTAAAATAAAAATTGCTTTTAAAATGTGACATTTTATTAATTGTGATGACTATAGAGGTAACTTTAGTCATAGTAATTTATTTTCTATTTTTACACTTAAGGGGCACTGACACCATACTCATAGTAATTTTAGTCAAAAAAAAAATCTTCAAATTAATTTCTAACAAAAAAGTCTAAATTATTTTAAATACTAAATTTTTTTTGTTGACTTACTCATATTATGATAATGCACATGAAGAAGAAAAACAAAACGGCATGTACAAAAACCGACCCGTCGAGACCTGCCCTGCCCTGAGGCATTTGGGGCGGGTCTGGCCGCCCCATCTTGCAAATGGAGCGGATCTGTCCTGCCTCGTGCATACAATGGTCCGGGTCCAGGTATTAGTATTGACCCGTGACACCCGACCCGCTCAATATATAAATATTACAACATACACAGTGGCGGACCCACTAAGAGTCCCATAGGGTCCTGAGACCCCACGGATTTAAAAAATACCTATATATTATATGTATTTTATATTATAAAAAAAATAAATGCATATTATAAAACAAAAAGTAGTTTTAATCATAAAGTGTAGACTAGTCCAATGCTAGTGCGCGGATGTTCGCTTTTGTTTATCCATTAGATCAGGGTTTCGACTCCCCTGGAGAATGAGGCCTTTTACTTTTGACCACCCAAGAATGATTCTCATTTTGTGCTTGTTTCTTTTGTTCCTTTTATTACAATAGTACTCTATTGTATTAGACTTTTAGTACACTTGATTCTCATTTTTCCTTGTTTTCTTTTATTACATTAGTGCATGAGCATGGAAACTCAATTTGGCTAAAATAAATCATTTTTATATTAGTTAATTATTTTTTTGTAAAAGTTAACAATCCTATTTATTATTATCTCCGTTCTCAAATAATTGAAAAATGTTGAATTCTACACGATTCGCATACTCTATTTTGACTATATTTTATTTATTAATGTATTAGAAATTTATTTTTAAAAAATTACTCCACATAGGACTAAAACTATGGCAAAAACTCAAAATAGAACTTACTATGTTTTTCTTTTCAAAGTAGGACCAAATTAGTCCTTTTGGAAACATACCTATTTTTTCATTCCATTCTTATCCTTCCTTTAAGTATGAGTTAATTAAATGTTTAATTCATAATAAATTCGAAAAAGAATTCAAAATTTCGTAGAAAAATAATTAAAAAATTTTAAAAATATTTATAAAATAAAAAATTAAAAAATAATAATTTTTTAATTTTTTTTAATTTTTTTAAAATATTAATAAAAAATAGTAACACTCCATAAAAAAAATTAAAAAAAATATGGATGCCTTTCCCACCGCCTGTACTATCTCCCTGCACCACCATCTCCGGACGTGAAAAAAATGCCATTTTTCCTAAAAACTGCCATTTTTGTCTGAACATGCCAAAAACATGGCATATTTCTCTTTTAGAATGCCAACATTTTCATTGTTTTCTACCATAAATATGGCATTTGTAATGAACTTGGCATTTTTTTCCCTGGTGACTGGAGGTGGTGGTGCAGAGGCGGCAGAGGCGACGGTGAATTTTAATTTATTTTTTGAGTTTTTTATTTTTATTTTTATTTTTTTTTATTTTTTTATTTTTTTATTTTTTTTTTGAAAATAATTAAATAAATAAATTATTATCGAAATATTTTTATTAATTTTTTATTATTTTTTACGAATTTATTATTATTTTTTATTACTTTATTATGAATTAAAACATTTCAATAGCTATAAGGGTATATTTGTCCAAGACACACATAATTAGTCCTATGAAAACATAGTTTATTTTTTGGTCGTATTTGTGCAAAGTGGGTGACTTTTAGTCCTATTTTGATAATTAACCCTTTATTTTTTGAGAAATATTGTTAAAATATTCTCATTATAAATTTTAAAAATCTGAATCTTTTAATTTTTTTTGGATGAATTATTAAAATTTCTTTGGATGTTAGGATTAAATTATTAAATTTAAGATATGATGGATAGTCTACCCGGGGGTATATATCCGAAGGGTTATTACGGGGAATAATTTAGAGAGAAGTCAGAGCAAGTAAATAAAAGTAGAGAGAGAGTGTATTCAGTGCGTTATCACTTTTCAGCGTGGTTACAAATGAGGAAATGGGGTGCTATTTATAGTAGCAATAAATGTCGGGCAGGGACACGTGTCAAGCGCTCATTGGCCGAGGGGTCACCTCAACTGGTTGGCGCTGGCAGCCGCATGTGGCCGCATTTAATGCGGCTGTTGGATGGGACGTCTGTGCAGAGTACGGTGATCTGTACGCATGTGAGGCGGATATCTTGTCGAGTGAGATGCCTTCGGCCATAGAGCAGTAGCCGAAGGCTCTTCCTCCCGATGGCACCCCTGGTGCCGAGGGCTCACAGTGCCGAGGGCTGCTGTTTTCGCCGTTTTCTCCCATTTTCTTAGTTTGCTTGAAAAACCCGTTCTGTGAGAATTTGGAGCCTTCGGCCAGGGGGCCGAAGGCACCCCTGGCGTGTAGTGCGGGCTGCTTGGTACTCTGGGCGCTGTGATTTGGGCTTGTTGGGCCTTTGCTTGGAGTAGTAGGAGTCTGTGGGCCGGGGGTTCCCGGGCCACATACTCCATCAAGATATTTATGAATATTTTTTCAAAATTTTACAATTTAGGATGAAAAGATATTTCGATAGTTACCCAAATTCGGAGTACCGAGAATTGGCCGGATGTTAATTCAAATGTTTCGTCATTATTAAATGAAGAATTGAATTGAATAATTGATGAATGTGAAATTAATTTGAGAGATAGATTTTTGGACGGCATTCGTGTCCGCAGGTCGCCCGCGCACACGAGTCGCGGTTTTTCTTCTCCGTTTCGGGATTTGATCGGCACCCCCCCCTGCGCGTAAGAGAGAGCCTTTCCCTTTAGGAATCTTAACTCCTTAAAAGAGGCTTCCCTTTATAAGGGGGTGAAAATCCCTTGAGTTTTTCGGTGTGGGATAAAACACACTAGAAACTCATCATTTTCCCAGTTTTTCCATTTCAACGAGCGAACTTCGAGAATCAATTTCTCATTCACCCGTTATCCGTTTTGAGCGTACCATATATCGAATTGTAGCCCTTAACAAGGACAATCCGAAACCACTTTGACCCGACCCAAATCGGAAGTGGACCCCACTCAAATAATTGCCCCAAAATGACCATTTAATGCAATTTTTAACACATTTTTCCAACAAAAACAACAAAACAATAAAGGTGTTGAAACATAAAACGGAAAGTAAATGCAAATAATAAAACTAGTAGTCGTCCGATGAAGACTATCTGCTCCATCTTTTTTCTGGACCTTCTGCAAACCATTTACTGCTATGCTAGGCGAGTCGCGGAGTTGTGACTCGCCTCCTTCCCATTTTTAGCCCTTCCACCTTTATCTCTATAGTACATTCATCATCCTGGTTGACCCTCCAACGTTTTTGCTCGGCCCTAATGTCTATATGCTTTTGAGCTTCTCTCTTATCCAATGACACCTTAGTACCAGAACTAGGACTATTCCCCCTGCTCTTCTTGTTTTGGACTATAATTTTCGCAGCCGGTACCAGCCACTTATTATCTGCAACTTGAGAATTGCCCTTAATAGCCATGGTGCATATGGTTTATCCCCCATTCTTATACACCCCTCCGGGTTGCGAGGACGGTATTTCTCAGCTTGCCCAATATTGCCACACAGAAAGCAGAAACTGGGCAGCTTCTCATAACGAAAAGTGACACAAAAACTAACTCCCTCCTTTTGAAGAACCAACTTCTTTTTCAAAGGCCTAGTTAGGTCAACCCTCACTCTTATTCTCATAAGCGGGTTCCATTTAACAGAGAAATTGT